AACTATGTTGAGTTATACTATACAGTGAAATATAAACATTTTAAAATGCATATCTTGTAGGTTTTTGATAAATGTAGCTATGTTCAAAGTTATCACCATAATTAAGACACAGAACATTTCTAAATCAATTATCCAAAATAGTACTCTTGTACCTTTCTTTGTCCAATAATTGATCCTTCATCCATATGTAGATAACTTCAGATATACTTTATGTCATTATAAATTAGAATTTTGCTTTCTAATGTTTTATGTCAATACAATCACCCTTCATATAATTTTGTTTTATGCCACATCATGAACATATAATGGTTTTGAGATTCATCCATGATGTGTTCAACAATAATTCATTCATATTTTATTGTTGAGTAGTATGATGGACAGTTGGGTCATTTCCAGTAGTGGCCTATTTGAGTAATGCTACTATGAATGCTCATTTATAAATCTGGGTGTGAGGATGTGTTTTCATTTCTTTTGGGTGTTAAGAGTAGAATCATTGGATTGTAATACATGTGTATTAACTTTGTAAACAACTGTGTTTCTGTATGCAAGTACTTTGCTAAATATTACATTTTTTTTCAAGTCTATGGCTTGTTTTTTCATTTTCTAATCGAATTTTATGGAATTAACACTGTTGCTCAGCAGTTAAGATACCATTTGGATGAGTAGCTACTCTGTTTCTGAACCACCTTTGTGCGAATTTGTACCTTGGTGGACGGCAGATGATGACTCTGTGTACCTGTATGGTGGTGCACTAAGAGAGAGAGAGAGAGAAAGAGAAAGAGAGAGAGAGAGAGAGAGAAGATGGGAGACTTCAAATTTGTACTGAATTGTAAAGAGCTAGTAGTATATTGAGATGCTGTAATCTCTCATAGTGTTCAGGACTGCTTCTGAGAGAATTGTAGGAGAACCAGCAGTTTTCTTACAACTATTTAGAAAGGTAGAGGGAGTTAGAAAGAGGGAGAGAATGAAGGAGAGAGAGAGAAAGCGAGGGAGGAGAGAGAGAGACAGAGACAGAGAGAGAGGGAAAGGGAGGGAGGGAGAGAGAGATAGGAGAGGAAAGAATATATATATTGGTTGTAAAAGAAAAAGAGAAAGAGGGGAACATTTATGTGGGAGTACTTTGAAAATTCAAGTAAAGTTCCATACCCTTTGTGGACTTCCTTCATTAAAGAGTACAGAAGTTGGCTGAACTTTGAAATGAGGACAATGGGTGTCTCTAATATTGCTGCAAGCACCACAACACTGTATTTCAATCAGTGTGTGGAGAGAGTGGTGAAATCCTCTTGGATGTGGCTATGACTGGAAAGAATGAGGGTAGCACATTGTAGAAGGCCACAGCACCCTCAATGTTTATAGCCACCAAATACATCATGTATTGAAAACTGAACCCTGTGAACTTCAGAAAAAAGTACTCCATTTTTGATTCAGATTTCAATGTGTATGCCCATAGTTTTTGCAAAGAAAGGAAAGGAAAGTAACTAAGTTACAAATCACTAGCATTTGTTGGAAAAAGGCAGGCAAAAACCAGCTTGAGAGGAAAACCATATTGGTATTTAAAATGAAAGTTCATAACCCTGTGAACTAAAGGACACATTTTTGTTTTATCTTACTTTACAGGAGGATACTGAAGCAAAAAGATCATTGATTTTCCTAATGTCGGATTCCTTGTTGGTAGAGAATACACTAAAAATTTTCTCTCTTAATTCCCAGTGCAATATATTTTCTTGTCATCTCTGCTGTCTCACTTGGTACTCATGCCAAATGTCCTTTACAAAACTTGCTTAAATCCATTTTAGCTTTAATAACCCTTGAATAGGTGTAGCATACATTGTAATATTGTATTTGAACAATAAAAATTTAATAAGTGTCTTTTAATGATTGGCATGCATGTTGACCTCTTAAAGTAATCACTTTTCTCAATTGTGAATTTCATTATATCATTCTTTTTAATATCAGAATTAGAGCATATTTGTTTATTTTTATTGATGTGTTTTAGACAATGTTTCATATTTGTGTGAACTTTGAAGCTGTTCACTCTGGGGATTGCAAGTAATTTTGCTTGGATTTTCAAATATGTGAATCTTGGAACATCATCTATAGTTTTCTACTCCAGTGGACAGTGTGAATAATCATTACATTGAAGGAAGATCATATTTGGAACTAATTTTACTTCAGCTTCTGCTTCTGAAGAGCATGCTTTCACAATTCTTCTGAAAAACAATTAATTTCTTAGTTCTTTGAAACAAAATTATGCTGTGAATAAACTTCAGGGTTAGAATAAAAGCAGAAAGCAAATTATTAGTCTTTAAAAATTACTGCATAAGATGTCTTTGAGAGAGAGATCTGGCAAATTCAAAAATGAACTGTTGTTATTTGATGCTGTTAATTTGTTAAATATGATGATGGCACAGTGTTTCTGTTAAAAATACTTATCTAAAGGTGAACACTTATGTACTTATATTATCATAAGAGAAAATAAGATTGCAGCAATGTTGATAATTATTAATGTTTGAATGATAGATATATGAGGAAGATCTTTTATTATATTTTTATACTATACTATACTATACTATTCTGTATGTTTGAAGATGTCTACAACACAAAACATTAAAAAAAATCAGTGGTGGAAATGGCAGATATGATGTGTAAGAGATATTGCAAGATACCCTAAATCAGGCTGCTTAGCCATCTGAATCTTCCAATAGGGATATCAGGATGGCCTCACCAAGAAACTGACATTAGAGAAAAGATCTGAAGGAGGTGTTGGAGAGAACCATTTGGATCTCTGGGGAAGAATGTTCTAGACAGAGGTAGCAGGTAGTAAGAGTCCCAGCGAGGGACCATGTCTATCATATTCAATGCACAAGAAGTGCAATAGATGAAAAGCAATGTGCAAGTGGTAAAACAGTAAGAGGTGGTGTCTGAGAGTTAACAGGGATGAATAGAAAGAAGTGGATGCAGGATTATTTCCCACAAAGAATGCATATCCAGATAAAAATAAAAGAAAAAGCAAGCAACAGAATAGTAAAATAAGCAAAAGATTTGAAAAAATATTTCATTTAATGAAAGTGGCCAATCAACATATGAAAAAATACTCTAGGCATCAGATACTCATTAGACATCAGAGAAATGAAATTAAAATCACAATGCTGCACCATTACACTCCCACTGTGCAGTAGTTTGAATGTCCCCAGCAAAATTTATGTTGAAATTTAACCCCATTGTGAGGTATTAAGAAATGGGCCCAGGGACATGTTTAGTTTTAGCTTCCACTTAACTTGGATTCCCTATTGGAGTGCCAGTTCAAATCCCAGCTACTCTGCTTCTAATTGAGCTCTCTGCTATACGGCTAGGAAGGAGCAGATGACATCTTATGTGTTTGGTTCCCTGCCATTCATGTGCAGGACTTGAATGGAGGTCCTGGTTCCTGGCTTTGGCCTGTTCTGTCCTTAATGTTGCAGCCATTTGTGAAATGAAACAGCAAATGGAAGATTCTCTCTCTCTCTCTCTCTCTCTTTCTTTTTCTGTCTCTCCCTCTCTACTCAAAACTTTTCCTTTCAAATAAATGAATCTTAAACAAGAAGAGGGATCTTTAATAGGTGATTAGATATTAAGACCTTTGTCCTTATGAGTGTATTAATCATTAATGGATTAAAGGGTTAGTTAGTTGGCCTCTGAAAAGGAGGAATATATTCCAAGGAAAGTGGACAAAATTATAAAGGATAAATGAAAATATAATAAATTTATATTCCCCTATATAACAGAACATTTTGCAGAGATAATGCCAGTTAAATAATAATAACTCAGTTTAAAGGAAAATGAACATCATATTTTAAATGTAGGCACCTTGAACTCTTTAAAAGTCAAAGTTTATTACAGCTTTTTGAAGTAGAAATGAAAATGGCACACAGACATCCTCCAGCCTTTATTTTTAAAGATTTATTCATTATTATTTATTTGAAAGAGTTACACAGAGGAGCGGCAGAAAAAGAGAGAGAGAGGTCTTCCATCTGCTGGTTCACTCCCCTATTTCACAATGGCCGGAGCTGCGCCGATCTGGAGCCAGGAGCCAGGAGCTTCTTCTGGGTCTCCCACGCGGGTTCAGAGGCCCAAGGCCTTGGGCCCTCTTCTACTGCTTTGCCAGGCCATAGCAGAGAGCTGGATCAGAAAGGGAGCAGCCGGGTCTTGAACCGGCGCCCATATGGGATGCCAGCACTTCAGGCAAGGGTGTTAACCCACTGTGCCACAGTGCCATCCCCCTCCAGCTTTTAAAAATTGCCTGTAAAGTAAATATTGATAGCCATAACCCACACAAACAAAAAGCTTTTTGGTGTCTTCAATAATCTTTTCTAAAGAGTAAAACGTTCTTAAGACAAAACGTGATAGAACTGCTGTGGATTAATCCCAGACTCAGAGGTTCCTGATCATTGGTGTGTAGCTACAGAATTTCAAGCCCTTGTTTAAATCCTTGGCTTGGTCAAGGATTATAAGGTTCTTCTTGCTCAAGGTGCTGGTTTTCAGTGATCTGAGGGACTTTTACTCTCAGGAGGAAGTTAACTTGCTGCCTTCCTGACATTGTGTTGTTTTTATCTATCCTGTTTGTTATTATCATTGTTTTCTATTTTTTCTTTCAAACTTTTTTCTCATTTTTCTTTCTTGTATATTTTTAATACCTCTGATTGCTATTGTTTATTGTGTGCCCCACCAAAAGTCATGTTGAAATTTAAATGCCCATGCAATATAGCTTGGATATCCCTCACTTCGAGTGCTTGGGACAAGGAATGTTTTGAGTTTCAGAGTTGTTCATATTTTGGAATATTTTGATACACTTTCCCAGTTGAGCACCCCTAATCCAAAACGCAAAATTATCTGATAGTATGTCTTGATTCCCTTCTAAAAATCAGTTTGTCTGGTGAATTTTGGAAGTTCTTTTGAGGAAATTTGGGCCAACTTTCTCACTAGTTTTTCTAATTCTATTTATTTATTTATTTGACATGTAGAGTTACAGACAGTGAGAGAGACAGAGAGAAAGGTCTTCCTTCCATTGGTTCACATGGCGCCAGCCCCAGTTTTTCTCATTCTTAATCTTGACCTGAGGATACACTGACTCCAACCCCAGAGGTAAGGTGAATATGCTGTGGTACCTTTCAGCCAGCTGTCTCTGTTGTGGAAGAGGCCCTGCTGGCAGCAGCACATTGTTGGAGAAAATCGCCAAGGTTAAATTTACAGGGTGAGGATGGCTCAGCAAATGATAACTAGGAAAGAGGTAGCCTTGAATATTACTGGCAAGAGCCAGTAAAATCCAGCTTCCGGAAACTATCCTATGAAGAGTCCTGAAGTCTTTAAACCATCCCTGTATAGTGAAATTATTTGATGAAATAGAGGCCTAGGAGACACTCCACCTTGCCAAGGAGTATGTTCATATAGAAGAAATGTTTGAGGACCTAGTAGCAAAGGCAGTAGGAAGACAAAATGGTGCAAGCTAAACTCCACCTTTTGAGTACATATACCATGAATCATCCTATATACAACAATCAGTTGATTACTGCCTTCTGATTGACAGAATTTCAAAAAGTTATGGGAACCAGAATAGAACATATTATATTCCCTTTCACATGTGCACGGGGCATGTGAAAATATGCTCGGGAAATTTCTCAGTCTCAATCTTAGCAAGAGTCACTTTAAAACAAGTCATGAAATACCATGGCTGAATATAGGTCATGAAGATGATGAAATAAAGCCTAATCTATAGCCACTCCCTGAGTATAAGCACTTCAAGAACACAGAATTGATATTATCCATGGGTTACACACAAGAAAAGGGTCCAGGACTTGATGCTGAACCAGAAGTGCAATAATGTTATGATAGTCACTTTATCTGCTTCTGGAATATAGGAAACCTGAGCTTGAGGGCTCCGAAAGCTCTTACTTTCAGCTGATATTGTGACATCAGCATGCTTCTCCATCTTACAAGATAGATCATAGACTATTTTACAGTTCAAAGGAGGGAGTCCTTCAAATGCCTGTCATTCTTGCCTCCAATCTCTATTGCAAGAATATACTTAGTAGTGACACAGAAAATAAGAGACTTAACAAGTACCTGAATTCAGGGTAGAAGGCCAGCAGAACAGCAATGCACTTTTTATCCTCCCACCCATTCTGGAAGGGAAGAACATTCTGTCCCCTTCAGGAACAACACCGTCTCCACCAGCACAAATCAAAGCAGCAAGTCCCTGATTTTGGAGTGGGCCAACCTTGAACCATGCCTCTATAGAGAATGTCAAAGGCAGTTGATCACATTAGGGGCTGAGACCCCCATGCTTCTGCATCTACCAGAGTTCCCTTAGCAATCCAGTCCACACTAGGAATACAAGTCAGTTTCGGTGGAGCACAGTCAGACCTCTGGGATATAACACACAAAGCATAAGTGTGAGGGGCTGTGATCCAGTATAGCCCCAAGCTCTATTTCTGTAGGCTCATTTTCGTCCCACATCATCAACAGCAATGTCCAAGCCCCACACTGAACTAAATCTCCCGTGTCTGTATGGTCCAGGGAAACTCTGGGCACTCACATGAGGCATTTGGGGCATGTGTATGACCAGCAGATTTGGTCCTATATGTGGTTGTAGTTTCTATTTCTGGCAAAAGCCAGAGCAGGTGAGCAGGGAGAATGGCAAACTTCTTCACCATGTTAAGTTTCAATTTTAAGTGCAGAAATCTTTGTTTAAACATTTCCAAAAGGAACCTGAATGAGTCTAAAAATCAAGACCGAGTAGAGATACTCAAACATCATGTAGTGGGCAGTGAAGATGATGGATTAAAAACTTGATAAAGAATTTTCAGAGGAAAATTATGCTCACTGAACTTCACATGTAATATGAATGTGAAAGTTGTCAGCTCCAAAAGAAAGTCACATATGTCCAACACTAGCAAAATGGAGCCAAGAGGTCCTAATGGAAAAGTTCCTAGGCATATTTGCCTATGGTAGGAACTCTAGGCAAAAACTGTGAAAACAAAAGAAATTCCATATAAGTTTTTATAAAGACATTTCTCTAGCAATAACTAGTATTACCAATGGCTAGTCACGAACACTGGCAATTAATTCTTGTAGCCAATGAGATTTATTTCAAAACATTTATGTGAATTTCTCTTCTTGTGTTTAAAAGTCTTCTCTGCCCCAGTCTTCTTGATTGCATCTATAGTCCACCCTTACATACATATCCTGGCTTGTAATTCCTTGCTATTTCTGAATAGACTTCTGGTTCCACAGAGTTAGTCTCCTGTTGCTTATTTAGGTTGATGTGAAAACCACAAGCTCTTCTGGGAGCCCAAAGAGATAAGGTAGGAGATGGGCAAGTTGCTAGAAGCAAACAGCTGTCAGTGCTGAAGCAGAAATACATTCAGCCATGTGTGAATGGCATGCTTGGCTGGGAGGACCACGTGCGGCAGAGGATGGGGCTTTGGAACTGCAACAGAAGTCCCACCTATTATTATCTGGGTACTCCATAGCCTTCAAATGCATTACCTCCAAAATAACCAAGTTTCCACTTTAGAAGACTTCCAGGAGTCACTTGCAAGATAAGAGTAGGAGTTGGATAGTGCTGGCTCCCTCCTCGAACTCACACCTCACTTGGAAAAAACAGCAGAGTCTAGACTAATATTTTTCTTCTGGGGCAATTCTCTCCTTCCCTTCTCCACCTTGCCCTCCCCTCCTCCTCTTCTTCTGTGTTTGTCCAGGGGGATATATGGGTTTCATGACAAATGGTTCATCTGCTCATTACCAGGGAAGAGGGTCTACTATTTCTTCAAAAGTAAGGAGCACAGGGATCAAGTATCTTGGTTACATCAGAGCCACTTCAGCTTTTACCCTCACTGTTGGCCTCCATTAAAGAAACCTTGGCAGAGAAAAGTGGAGATAATGTCAGTCTTTCTGTGATGAACTCAGAATTTATATTTTCATTCAAAATGTAAAACTATATTATACCAGGATTTCAAGTTGCCATTTGTACAACTAATCGTTTCCAGCACGCTCTGCTCACGATAAAATCATCAATATTTTTTTTTCTTGTAAAAACGCTTCTGGGATTTCCAGCTTCCAATCTGGCTTGTTAGGAAGTTGGAAGTGTTGGCTCTATCCAACTGCAAGGAAAAAGCTGAAAAGACTGAAAAATCAACAGCCATCCTTGGATCTAGAAGAGAAATGAAGTAACAGAATGAATTACTTCTTCCAAGACTGGAGAAACTTATCATCAAATACAGAGACTCATTGCTTACTGGAGAAGTTACCAGTAGAAATCTCTATGGGAAAAAATGCCAGGGGAAAGCTTAAACTGTAATTGATGAATTGCTGGAAGCTTAGTATGGACCACTCTAAGGGGATTCAGTCATTTGGGGCTCCACACTTTTGTGGTTTAATTTTTTTCCCCTCTGGAACTATCAGATTCTCATAGTGACTGTAAATGTAAATTCCCCTTCTGCTCCCAGCAAGGAGAGGAATAAAGGAACCATTTGGAACTCACCTGAGTATTCTGGTCTTCTTGATATTGTCTATTCTCAAGAAGAACTATTTGACTAGTGAGTAACCTTGTGGAGCTTTATCAGACCCTAACTAACTTGAGGGAGGGACAACCCTACTCTATCCCTTAGCTAACAAGTATACTGGGATGGAGAATTAGGCAGATAAATATTAAGAACAAGAGTAAATATCAAGGAAATTGAAAACAAGAAATCAATAAAAATATCAATGAAATCAAAAGCTCAAAAGCTGATTTTTTCAAAAGTGCAATAAAATTAATATAGTCAAGTATTCAGTGTACTTAAGGAAAATAAAAGAGGGCACATATTACTAATTTTGGTAAAATAAAGATAATACATCATTACAGATCCCATGGACTTTAAAATAACATAAAGAGGTACCATGAATAACACCCAACACTATGCCTGCTAATGCCTGCTAATAAGATAAAATGGAGCCAATTACTTGAAAGACACAATCTGTAAAAACTTTGAACTGCCCTTGTCTTGACTTTTGAGGAATAGATTTTTTATACTATTTGTTAAATTCTTTACTTAACATAGAGTTAATCATATGTTTATAAAATTAACTGAAAATATATCTGAGTAAAAAATAAGAGTGGGAATAAGAGCGGGAGGAGGAAAGGGGTAGGTGTGTGGGTGGGAGGGTGGGCACAGTGGAAAGAATCACCATGTCCCTAAAGTAGTAATTATGAAATGTATGAAGCTTACAATTATAAAGATAGATAGTTTTGCATACATTCCTAAGGACTTATTTCTAAAGGTACAGTTTAAAAACTTGCCATGGGATGCCAAATCCCCATAAATAGAGTGATAAAAATAGCATTTTCAGTGTTAAAATGATCATAGAGATAGGATTAAGCATTAAAGTGATTATGTAGATAGGCTTAAATGTTAAAGTGATCATACAAGTAGGATTCAGTGTTTGTTAATCATAACTGAGAGAATTAAAAAGTCATGAATACTCCAGCCGGCGCCGCGGCTCACTAGGCTAATCCTCCGCCTAGCGGCGCTGGCACACAGGGTTCTAGTCCCGGTCAGGGCGCCGGATTCTGTCCCGGTTGCCCCTCTTCCAGGCCAGCTCTCTGCTGTGGCCAGGGAGTGCAGTGGAGGATGGCCCAGGTACCTGGGCCCTGCACCCCATTGGAGACCAGGAAAAGCACCTGGCTCCTGCCATCAGATCAGCGCGGTGCGCCGGCCGCAGCGCGCTGGCCGCGGTGGCCATTGGAGGGTGAACCAACGGCAAAGGAAGACCTTTCTCTCTGTCTCTCTCTCTCTGTCCACTCTGCCTGTCCAAAAAAAAAAAAAAAAAAAAAAGTCATGAATACTCCAACATGAGAAGCAGTCCATACAGCAGACTCATAGAAAAACAATTGCTTAAAGTAGCACTCAGACCTCACAATCAGCCCTTAAGTCATTCTGGTCTGGCTGAAAAGTCCACAATAGATCGCGGAAGATGGCGGAATAGAGAGGGAGGGAGCACAGCGAAGCTCCACTAAGGGAAGGTTCAAAGAGGGATGCATATTTGTAGTTTAAGCCCTCCTCCAACCTGGGGTGTGGGGTGACACCGCGGGGAGGACGCAGACGCTGGGACTCAGGACCACCAGCAGGAGCGTGTATGCTCAGCGCTGGAGGCCGAGTGAGACGGGGCACTCGCCAGCACGCGGCAACAGCTGCCGCCGCCCCTCCCCCAACACATCCTGGGACGGACACTGGGACATGCACGACTGAGTGGGAGAGGAAATAGAGAACGGGAACAGAGTGAGTGGCGCCGGCGGTGAGAGTGCATGATTCAGGGACACTAATTGAGAGACTGAGTAAGCCAGTGTCTCTTGGCACCTCCCCGGAGCCCCGGCGGGCGGGAAGCAGCCATTTTGTTTGTTTACATTCGGGCTTAAAGGAGAACTATCTTTGCCTCCACACTAACCTTCGGAGGTGGAGCCCAAAGGTGGAGCTGAGGGTGCTCAAGGGAGGGCAGCCCAAAGTCCTGAGACCCGACTACTCAAGTTACTGAATAGCGCCTCCTGGTGGGGAAAAAGCACAGGATCCAGAGCTGCAGTGGACAGAGAGCAGCCACCCTGTCTGTTTACCTGCGGGCTGTGTAGAGCAGCCTGGTTACACTGAATATTGGTAGAGACTCACAGCAGCCTATAGTAGAGGGAAATCAACCTGAAAAATCACCCAGACAGAATGCCAAAAAACAAAACCAAAAACCAAAAAAACATAGAAGATAATATAAATTTGCCAATGGAGCAGGCTAAACCAACAGAGGCAGAAGAAGAAGAAGTTGAAAACATGCCAGAAAAAGAATTCAGAAAATTAATAATCAGAATACTTAGAAATAATGAGAAACAGTGTCAAGAGCTGAATGAAAAACAAGCCCAAGGATTAGAGATCTTAAAGAGAAGCCAGAATGAGATACTAGAACTGAAAAACTCAATTGACCATATAAAAAACACCGTGGAATCCCTCGGAAATCGAACAGATGAAATAGAAGACCGAATATCAGAATTCGAAGACAAACTTCCAGAAATAATACAGTCAGTTCAATCGCAGGAAGAAGAAATTAAAAAATTAAAAAACACGGTCGGAGACCTACAAGATTCAATCAAACGGTGTAATGTTCGGATAATAGGAGTCCCTGAGGGGGTGGAAAGAGAGAATGGATTAGACGGTGTCTTCAACGAAATAATATCAGAAAACTTTAAACAAAGGCAGCTGGATAACAACACACAAATACAACAGATAGCCAGGACCCCAAACAGAGTAGACCAGAAGAGAAATTCACCACGACACATTGTGGCAACACTCAGTTCAGTGACACACAAAGAACAAATCCTAAAATGTGCCAGAGAAAAGCGACAAATCACATTCAGGGGTAAGTCAATCAGACTCACCCCAGACTTCTCATCGCAAACACTACAGGCAAGGAGACAATGGCATGATATATTCCAAGTTTTAAAAGACAAACAATGCCAACCTAGAATACTATATCCTGCAAAGCTATCATTTGTGAATGAAGGGGAAATAAAGATCTTCCACGACAAACAGAAACTGAAAGAATTTGTATCCACGCGTCCAACCCTACAACACTTGCTCAAAGACGTGCTGCACACAGAAATACAAAAACAAGAACTTCACTGCAAAAAAAAAGCGAATGTAGAGTAACCCACAAAGTTCAAAATACATAAACAGCTCGTTTCAGGAAACATGAAGGGAAAAAGACAGTACTTAACAGTAATCACATTGAATGTGAATGGTCTTAATTCCATGACAAAGAGGCACAGACTAGCAGATTGGATAAAACAAGAGGATCCAACTATATGCTGCCTTCAGGAGACACACCTCATCAGCAAAGATGCACGCAGACTGAAAGTGAAAGGATGGAAGAAGATACTCCAAGCTAATGGAAATCAAAAAAGAGCTGGTGTGGCCATCCTAATATCAGACAAAATAGACTTTAACATAAAAACTATTAAAAGAGACAGAGAAGGGCACTATATAATGATTAAAGGATCTATCCAACAGGAAGACATTACTATTATAAATGTATACGCACCTAATTACAGGGCGCCTGGCTACCTGAAAGAATTACTAAAGGATTTAAAGGGAGCTATAGACTCAAATACAATAGTAACAGGGGACTTCAACACCCCACTCTCACCAATGGACAGATCAACCAGACAGAAATTCAACAAGGAAACAACTGAGCTAATTGACGCCATAGACCAAATAGACCTAATAGATATCTTCAGAACCCTCCACCCCACAGACACAGAGTTCACGTATTTCTCCCCAGTACATGGAACATTCTCTAGGATTGACCATATACTAGGCCATAAAGGGAGCCTCAACAAGTTCAAAAAAATTGAAACTATACCATGCAGCTTCTCAGACCATAGTGCAGTGAAACTTGAAATCAACAACCCAAGAATCTCTACACCATATGCAAATATATGGAGAATGGACAACATGATCCTAAATGAACAGTGGGTCATCGAAGAAATTAAAAGAGAAATCAAAAGATTTCTAGAAACAAATGAAAATGATAACACAACCTATCAAAACCTGTGGGACACAGCAAAAGCAGTGCTAAGAGGAAAGTTTATAGCAATTAGTGCCTACATCAAGAAGCTGGAAAGGAACCAAACAAATGAACTCTCTATGCACCTCAAGGAACTAGAAAAACAGCAGCAAATCAAGCCCAAATCCAAAAGGAGGAAAGAAATACTAAAGATCAGAGAAGAAATAAACAGAATTGAAACCAAAAAAAAAACAATACAAAAGATCAACAAAACCAGGAGCTGGTTCTTTGAAAAAATAAACAAAATTGACATACCATTGGCCCAACTAACCAAAAAAAGGAGAGAGAAGACCCAAATCTGTAAAATCAAAGATAGTAATGGAAATGTAACAACTGACACAATAGAAATAAAAAGAATCATCAGAAACTACTACAAAGAGATGTATGCTAACAAATTGGGGAACCTGGAAGAAATGGATAGATTCCTGGACAAATGCAACCTTCCTAAACTGAGCCGTGAAGATATAGAAAATCTAAACAGACCCATAACCATGGAAGAAATTGAATCAGCAATAAACGCACTACCGAAAAAGAAGAGCCCAGGACCGGATGGCTTCACTGCCGAATTTTACCAGGCATTTAGAGAACAACTAACCCCAGTTCTTCTCAAATTATTCCAAACGATTGAAAGAGAGGGAATCCTCCCAAATTCCTTCTACGAAGCCAATATCACCTTAATTCCTAAGCCCGGAAAAGACACAGCAGAGAAAGAAAACTACAGACCTATCTCCCTGATGAACATAGATGCAAAAATACTCAATAAAATTCTGGCAAACCGAATCCAACTACACATCAGAAAGATCATTCACCCGGACCAAGTGGGATTTATCCCTGGTATGCAGGGATGGTTCAATATTCGAAAGTCAATCAACGTAATCCAGCACATTAAC